TAGCGCGGCCCTGCGGGAGAGAGCGGCGGCACCTGCGATGTCACCGCGATCCCCGGCCCCCTGGTCCGGGCGCGGGGGGCTCGCCTGTCCCTGGCGCCCGCTCCCGCTTTGCTGCTAAGCGGCGCACAACTTCGCTGTGCCCGTGCCCGAGCACGGTAGCCCGGCCCTGGAAGGGCAGCAAACGCATTTCCTGACCCGAAACCGTTAGTGCCAGATAACTCTGAAAGCAGCAGTCTAAGTGTGCCGTTTCACAGTGCTCTGGTTCTGCTAAAAGAAATTACAGCACATGAGTTAGTAAAGTCTTTCAGTGGGGATGCCAGGGAAATCTATCTATCTGTCTGTCTGTCTGTCTGTCTGTCTATCTATCTATCTATCTATCTATCACTTAAAGGTGGGAGTTTTGTCCTTTCAGTAAGTAGCAAAAGTTGCAGTTCTCTTTCATCCAGCTCACTGAGGCATTCAGAACTGTCCATGTGTTCAGGCACCTGCCATTGATAAAAAGCACCAAAGTAGTGGTTTTGGCTGCTGAAGCCCCTTTGAAAACCTCAGTTAGGARCTGGGGACCCTAAAAGCTTCTTTAGATGTGTCCACATGTGTTAGACGCTTGCCACTGTGAATCTCTGCTGGAGCCTTGCTGAAGCTGACTGCACAAATATAGAATGAAGCTGCAATATTGTGGCTCACAGAATACAAAATATGAGTACAGAATTTTCAGTTGTAAAGACTGGCTATTTTTATGCTCATTTGGAAGAAAATACAGGTATAGGAGAAAAAAAGGGAAAGCCTTATTTAGAAGTGGATCCCTGTTTAAGTCCGTGGTGCCTTTGCTCTTTGTCAAGCAGATATTACGAACCCAGGCTGTTAGGGGACTCAGCCTTTCGCTTCCCCCTCTTTCCCACACTTGCTCACATAGATCCAGAGCATGCTTTTTCTTGGGCTATTGCACAAGTTTTCTATAATAGCTGAATCATTTGGAGGCACGTGAAAATTTCTTCATTTTTTAATTACGGAGCTTCCCCCACCACCACCACAGGGAAGCTGGGGTAAGTTTGTCAGTGCTGGTATGTAGCAGGATCTATTTTTTTATGTAGCTAAGTATATACACTAGGATTGCTTTTATTTTTTCCTTCGGGGTAGAAGCAGTGATGCTTGCTTGCTATTTTATTTAGATCACACCAGTTGAATTTAAGGCCAAGTGTCAAGAAAGGCTGAGCTGATTCTGGCTTGGACCTATGCAGGTCTGCTGTGCACTGAATTTCCTAAAATATAAGACCTGCTAATATAGGAACTCATGCCATGTTATCTATGTGTTGGTAGGATTTGGAAGTGCTGGATCTGGCATTTTCTAGCGTTGGCTGCAAAAGATATTTTTCTTCATCCAACAGAAACAGGTGCATTTTATTTCTCCCTTTGCTGAGAGAGCCGCGTGCTGGCGCCGGGGCCGGCAGAGCCCGTAAAACCAGGAACGTGCAGCTGCGAGGGAGGCGCAGGCTGAGGTAGGGTGCAGAGGAGCTGCTCTTCCCGGGCAGCTGCTCTGGAAATACCTCTGGGTGCAAACCACCCCAACACATCCCACCGTGTTGCGCTGCCCGGGTTTAAGCTGGGCTCTTGCTCCAGCTTTTGGCTAGGGGAAACTTCAGCGAGGTGGTTTCTGCCCTCCTCTTGTTTCCAGCTGGGGCTCAGTGTGTGGTGACTGTTCCTTAGTCATAAGGTCGATTATAAAAATGCATGATGGACAGGGAGGGCAGGAAGTATTGGTGTGCAATTCTGCAATATAAATGTAAATGTACATGGAAATGTAAATAAATAAATTTAAAGGCAAGTTTTGTGCGGCTTAGATAAAGGTGAATGCCAAACTCCACACTGCTTCTGGCTGTGCTCTAGAAGTGAATAGAAAGCTCCATTCTGGTACGGGGAGTGCAACCACAGAAGGTTCATTTGCCTAAAATGCTTTAAAAATGTTTTGCTGTGGTGATCGTTCCTAGTCTGCCTGTGTGGCTGCATTAGTGTTTGACTCAGTGCTGTCTGTGTGCTAGGAGCTCCCTGAGCCTGGCTGTTTGTTATTGCAAAAATGGGAAAAGTCACGATAAAAAATGTGAAAGTCATAATGTTTGGTAAGAAAAAGAAGAGTCACCATATGGCTCAACAGATTTTAATTAATATTAAATTGCCAGGGGAAATTCTGCAAAAAGTCAAATAGAAATCCTTTATTTCACAAATAAATGCTCAGGATTTGTTTTCAGAAGCACTTATGGGGCTATTAAGATTATTGGGAAGCCCAGAGCTTTTAATGGCAGTGTAGGGGCATTTTCAGAAATACAAGGTGTTTTTGGAGATTCTGGTAGCAAGCTGGTGACCTAGTTAGGTACTGTCAAAAATCTGTCATTTAACTCCCTTTGAAGGGCCTATTGATTTTCASTAGGGTTGGATATGATTCCTTTAGGCATTTCTAGTATTTATGCCATCCTTCAAATTTAACAAATAGCTTTAAGTTGCTGAGGCTCGAACTGCATGAGACAGAGCATATAGACTCCAAATGAATAGTAGTTATCCTAGTATTTCTATACAAAATGTTCAGAATAAACAAAGTCTGTGGTTTCTATGCCAAGAAACCACCTGACATTGGCAGGACATGATTTTTGTTAGGGAAATCATGCGATGATCAACAGACCTGCACAGTGCAAGTCAGGAAAGCAAATATATACTCAACATGAAGCACCTATTTGAGTGCCCTTCCTTAATAGGATACTTGTCTCAGTCTGGGCCTCAGCTTGGATTATGCTGCAAACATCATATTTGTTCATAAAGACAGAGATTGTCTGTTTCATTTGATAGTGGATTAATGTTCTGGTGTATATACTGTATATAAAACATAGTCTATTAGCTCATGTATCCATGGAGATTAGAAGTAGTTTGCAGAAATGGAAACTCTTGGGGTTCTCTTAGGCCTAATGTAAGCATTTTATTAAGAAAGCTCTCTAAAAGCCATTAATACTAATAAATATTTTCATTAAYTAGTATTATTTTCTGCTTACTGAAAATAATTGGCATAATTTTTGAAAACATGGGAGTAACACTGATTGGGAATTAACTACTGAAAATAACCCAGCTTATTCTCATAACCAAGGGAGCTGCAAAAATGGAACTGTCATCAATAATAGTTTTAAAAGTTATTAATATGAATGTAACCATGAATTAATTCTTAACTAAGAATTTATTGTTAGCTTCATAGATTTTAATTACACTTCATGCCTTGTTTTCTAATGGAAGTTCTTATAAGGTATCAACCTTGCAACCCCAGATCAGTGAAGATGCTCATTATATCATCAGTATTTACATATTGCTCTTGCATGTTAGCACTATTTGCACATGGTAAAACATGAGTTACCACTGTTTATATGTGCGTTAAACATGTGCTTAGGGAATACATGTAAAGGAAGYGCTGAGAGGCTTTACAGGCTGTAATGAATCATGAACTGGAGCAATACACWGTCCTAAATTAATCCTCCAGCCCACAGCCCAGGTCTCCCACCCGTGTATCCCAAGGTTTAACTCAGTTGGGAGCAGTGGTGTCTCAGTGGCCATGGGCCTTGTTGTAGAAAATTGTCCTGGGTTCAGGGGCAGTGAGGACTGAAAGAGCTGGGGTGTTGGAGGGAGGACACAAATCCCTGTTATCTGCTCATGGATCAAGAGAAAATGGGGGGACTCCCTAGTAGATCCTAGTAGATGGGCCCTTTCTGCACCCTCTGTGGCTGTCTGCTAGCAACATTGTTATTGCTGTGTCTTCTGATCAGAGCTGACCATCTTAGGGATCTTGAATCTGGCTATCTCAAATGTCAGTGATATTTTAATACCATGCAACTCAGTGAGGAATCCAACAGTTTCTTTAGAAGCTGCCTAAAATATGCAGGATTTGCCTACTCTGAGCTCCTGGTTTGCATGGCCAGATGTCTGCCAGGAGCTGCCTCTGTTTTGGGATTTCCTTCAAGAGTTAATGAAACTCTGGTGTAAATTATTTAATATYGCTTAGAATGTCTTGTAGAGGCAGCAGCTAAAACATGTTAGACCTCAAATGCTAGGGTGGTTCCCAGGACTTTTCTTCTGATTTATTTATTTATTTACTTATTTATTTATTTTATTTTATTGTTGAATGCAAAAATGCTTATCTGAAAATGCTCAAACCGAGAAGACTTGCTCTTTAATTAGATTTTATCCGCTTGTGATTACTGATGATACAGATGATACATTTTCCTCTTATTACATTAGCCACCTCTCCAAAGGTTGTACTTGACAAACCTTGAGAGTTTGCTGGATGGAGCGAAGCAGCTATTTGAAGTGACTCTGCACAGTTACATAAGGCAGCTCCTGGCAGCGACAGACTCCGTGTTGCTCTGTGGCTGGAGAAGGTGCAAGAGCCCTTTGTGCCTCCAGTCCTGCCTAGTATGAAAGAAGCAGAGCATATTTGACTAAGCAGAAGTATTTTTGTTAAAGTATGAATATTCTTAGCCACTGGGGAGGTATAACAATGTACAGAAGTTAAAAAATTAAAATCCTTATCTGTCGTAACTGGTTTTTAAGCTATTGATTTCAAAGCATTGTATGAGTTAGAGCTGTTATTCCCATTTTCTACAGGTAAAGGTAGAGATTGGGAAATGACTTTGGTTCCATCGCTTGCTCTGGAGGCTGTTAAACAGCCGTTAAAGACGTTTTATGATCAGCAGTTCCAATAAGATTCATTGGGGAGTTTTCAAGGAACCGTTTAAGGATGGCTCTGGGCTGTGAATGTTATTTCTCATTAATTGATACAGCACTGGGAAAGCAAATTCTGTGCCAGAATTTTAAATGGGATGGCTTAGTAATTATAGGCCTTCCAGCCTGATGCCAATCCCTGGCAAAATAATGGAAGATTTACTTGGTTAGTAAAATAATAATCAGGAATAATGTAATTCATGGCCATTCTCTTTGGTTTGTGGATAATACATCTTGTCAGACTAACTCAATAGTTTTCCTTTGATGTATCAGGTTTGCTTGATGGATGTTGTAGTGCTGATGTAATGGACTTTCTTCAGCCATTCATCATGGTACCACACAGTCCTTGATTAAGAAATGAGAATGTTGCAATATCAGCTGGGCAACACATTAAAAACACATAAAACTGCTTATCTGGTACTCTTAAAATGCAAACTGGGAATCATTATCTAATGGGATCCCATAGGAGTTATTAGGCCATGCTCRGTTTCCCTTTTTATTTAAAGACACAAAAGATATTATAAAGCCATTAATGGCCAATTTATGGAGATGACATCAAGTCTGACACTTTAGAAATGAAGGTAGTTTATGGAGTGAACCAGAAATCATATTTTTTTTATTACCACTCAAGATAAAACCATGTATATTTAGGAACAAAAAATTCAGATGAAGTTTTCAGGGTGGGATGTTGTTATAGATAGTCAACTGAGGTGATGTGTAGAAGCCAAAGGCCTAAATATATGAAGAGAGAAACTACTCAGCAGGATGAGTTATGTAAYTTCTGTATCACTAGCGGTGTGATAACTTCTTGAATATCCAACTAGGCAGAATTCAGATTTGAGACTGAAAAAGCCTCAAAGAGGCTTTTTGAAAGAGTTGAGTTTTGAGAGGGTTTTGAGAATGGCTAATGGATTGGACACCCTGTGCAGCGGGATGCTCAAAGGCCTCGGCCTCTGTCGCTTGACCAAAGATGTCTTTACCACGGGCCGTGCTGACACAGGCCGCAGAAACGCGGCAGCCGAGYGGTGAGAATGCAGCAAAATGGCTGAAAGTTGAAGTTCGTCTTTTCCACAATGAAGATAATAAAACATTGATATTGCTCTTAAAGGATTATTTTGGATTCTCTGGACATTTTAGAAATGAAATTATTTGTTTTTCGGAAAAAAAAAYGCTCTACTTGAAGTAGGGATTGATTTAAAGAAATTCTGTATTTGTGCTAGTGTAGAACTGACAGTGATCACTGTACTTAGTGTTTTTTACAATCTTTAAACTGATTTACCGAAGGCTACTTAATAGGATGCTGGCTTGTTAGGTAGAACCTGCTTTTACAGATCCCCAGGCTGCTGTGTTGTCCAAATGTCTTCCTGCAAATAACAGAAAAGCTGGGGTTTCTTGTGTTTCTTTGAAACGTGCGTGTTTGCGCAGAGTCACTCTTAAATTCTTGAGGGCAACTGGGCCAATCTCCGAGTGCTTCAATATCCCTCTTAAAGTCATTTGCTGATGTACATCACTGCGCTTGATGTAGTGTCACGTGCAGAGACGTGTACATGGCGCAGTGCTCGTTTCCCGAGGCTGCGGCGATGGGAGCCCACCGAGGGAAAGGCTGCACGATCACTGCGTGTACGGGCACGCTCGCTCAGCTCTGCTTTCCTCCTGCCCTCCTGGAGCGGCTTGCAGTCAAGAATAGCAGGAAATCATTTCTAAATAGCACATTCCCTCTGATACCCAGCATACAGGCCTAGCACAAAGAAATTCTGCTGAATTTTTCCTCTGGCTCCTCCGCCAGTCACAAATTAYTTACGTTTCAGGCTCCTGATTTAAGGCTTATAAGCATATTTGTAATGGAGCTATTAATTCTTAGTCCATATAGGGGAAAATGCTTTATATCCTAACTCTACTTTAGTCAGAARGCTGTGGGATTTGTGCTCAGCAATTTCTGGATGCTTTTGCAAGTCTCATCCAGAAACTGTAAGAACCGGCTCCTTATTCCAGACAACTGTATCAAAGTGATTCTCGGGTGCAGCTGAATAAAGTGTAACAGCAGAACTTTAAAGGAGAACATCTCAAAGGTGTTATTTCTAACTGTTACAAGATTTCACTGATCACTTTCCCTTGGAAGGTGAATTGCTGTTTCTCTGTAACACTTTTGCACCATTTTCTGCCAGAAACACTTCCTTACTTTCTCAGAGACTGTTACATAGTCATGAAAGCAGAGGATTTAGTCCAGGAACTTGTGACTTCAGATGTTCTCCTCGCACCGCTGCTTGTGAAGTTGTCGCTAACTCGATGYCCGGACTTCTATTTTCTCAGYTGTACCTTGGTGCAGAGGTGCAGCYGCAGTATTAGCTGGATGTGTCACAGGGCCAATGCGAAGCGATAAAGGCTGTTAGGGACAAATCATCTTAATAGTGGTTTTCAGATTCAGCGAGTAGCAGGAACAGATGTGACTAGAAAAAGAAAGAAAGAAAAAAAAAAGAACAAAGAGAGTCCTGTATAAAAACAGTCATAAATGCAAACAAATGCTTACTTTCCTCATGATAGGCAACCTATCACTCCTCCAAGTCACACACAGCAATGGAAACTGCAAGATCCTGGAGCAGATCCTCAGCAGGGGCAAATCCCCCTAGCTCCGCAGCCACAGAGTTGTGATAACTGATACTGCCAAGGACCTTCTACCTGTTGAATAACTCCACCTCATTCTAGGAGGAGCTCTTCTTTTTTGCAGAGGGTCTTTACCCCTAGGAGGGTRTTTGGTAAGCTTGGTAAGCCCAACCTGAAGGTCACTGTGCTGCTCTGACACGCGGGTGCAAATTTCACCTGAGTGTTTGGRCAATGTTGGGGTAACCCAAAGAATTAGTAACAGGAAGGGCTGTTGGTGTTAAAGGAGGCTGATGTCCCTTGAGGTGCTCTAATGAAGACACAGCAGATGCTGAAACTTTCCTCCAGAAAGTACTAGTGATTAAGACATCACTGATGATAGACGTGGATTTGCTTGTTTGTGAAGGAGAATACAGGCAGCTTCACAGGGCAGCAAAGAGAAAGATGTGGTGTGTGCTGAGAGATTGCTGAGGTTAGGCAAGTTCATGGGGAAATAACCCCTGTTGTGTGCAATAGATGAAGAAGAAAAATATTACTGATTACACCTTCCCTGAAGCAGGGTGGGTCTGTGGACACAAGGTGCCCACGCTGGCCTGCAGCAGGGTGCTTCAGCTGCAGGACATGGGCTGGTCTGGGCTGCTGCGCATGCTCCTGCCCGGGTGCCACGTCCCAAGGTCAAGCAAACACAGTGCTGTTCAGGCTCTGCTCATGCAAACTTCTGTTCCAGAAGTGAGTCAAATTAGATTTCACTTTGTGGAGTTTCTGCTAAGGATTCAGAGAACTCATTTAAACTGTGTAGCATTGAAGTGTTTGCTCACATTATACAGAAAGAGACCTTAATGTGCTCAATTAAAACTTCACCATTCTTTTAATAGTAACAGATAGTGCTACCACCCTGCAAGAGTTGTGAAATGAGTTTATAGTGATCAAAATATGTACTGTACCTGSATCTCACTTTTCTTACATTACTGGCATGTTAGCTCTGCTATCTTGTATAAATTTCAATTTAAATAGTCATATTCTGCCCACCTTAATTCTGGCTCCTTCCCATGCACTCGGCGCTCCTGTTGCCTCCCCCAGTTCTCCCTTACCGCTCTTGCAACCTGTTGGGGAGTTAGTGGGAGCTGTAAAACTGTGAAGCCCAGCTCAGAATTCTTTGGTATAATCCACGTGTAATTTTTCACAGCACTTCCTGAGGATAAAAGGCAACATATGAGTTATTCCTTCCCAGGAGGGCTGTGTAATTTCAACTGTAAAGCTGAAAAATAAGGCAAGTTAAATCAATGTTTTGAGGAGCTGTGTTGGGACCATACATTCATTATGCTTTTACATGTGTCTCAGTTGCAGTAAATAAAAGAAAATGTGTTCAGACATCAAAATATTTACTGGTTAAAAAGATACATGTAATCTCTCCAAAGCGTGAGCTACTGTTCTGTAAAGGTCTCACTTTTCAATTAATTAACRTAGCAGAAGTGTTTTCTATTTCTGCAATGTATTTTTTTTTCTAAGCCTTGCAAAAATACTTCACAGATATTAATGAATTTATGCTTGAAATATCATGATGCCATAGATCACAATCATCATCCTTGCTTCACTGAGGAATGTACCAAAGCTCAGAGAAAACTTAAATGAGTCGGAGAGAAAACTTTGAAGTACTGACATCTCTGGTCATGATGTCTTCTTTTCTCTAAAATATATATCATTTGGTTTGCAGCTTCCAAAGGGCATCAGAGAAGTATTGGTGTGAGCCCAGAAATGTCTRCCCAGCACCAGCAGCAGGTGAAGCTCCAACTCATCAGGTCAGGGAAGTGAGTAATCACTTCCTGCAATCACTAATTACAACCAATTCTCACTTGGCCATCCTGTAGCCACTGAGCTGTACCTCAAATTAAAGATGATTAGCTGTTTCCTGTCTACTATAAACACGTAAGTGGAGACAGAGTCTAGATTGTTACCTCCTGTGTTCTTTTGTTGTTGTTGTTGTTTTTATAAATGGATTAGTATAAGGGGTTTCTGGTCTGTAACTGGGCTTCCTAGGCTGGAGAACAGAATGCTTCTGGCTTTCTCATGTTCACAAATGTAAGGATGAGGAGCTGGCTGCAGAAACCTGCATCTAACCAAAGGTATTTTTCCTGATTCAGTTGCAAACTTTGCAGAGATGAAATGGAGCTTCTTTTGGTTTCAAGTTTAAGTTAAGTGTATTGCTCCTCTGAGTTGTATATCTTGCACCATTTTGTTACTGTACTAATTTAGGATCGGTCATATGTTTCTTCCATGTCAAAATGAGAAAAGTATTAAGAAGAAGGAGCTATTTCCTATATTCCAGTATTTCTAAGAAAGAATTTTTTCTTCAGCCTGAGATGTTCTCTGGGGCCAAAACACTTTTACCAGGGTAATTCCTCTTCTCTTGTCTGTGTTCTGCCCTATTCCTCACAGCTCAGCTTTCCTTTTTTGTGGCTTCTGGGGGGAGATTGGCAGCTTTCCCCCTTCTTCCTTCCCCTGGTATCACTTGTGGGTTTGATGAGCTGTTTTGTTTCCAGCTATTCTATTTGGTCTGATTAAAAAGCAAGCTGGCTTTACTTATGCTCTTATGTGCTCATGGCTCTAGTAGTGCTATAATGAGAATAGCTATTTTGTGCTGGCTATTTTAATGTTCAGGAAACCAAGCACCCAATGTTCAAGCTATGGAAAAGTTCCCCTGTGCCCTCAGTGGTGTCTCTGAGCAGTTGGGAGACCCTGCATTGCTGAAGGCCTGAAAAGCTCCCACAAAGACCAGGGCAGTTGAGAAAGTCAAATGGTTTTAACATTGGTTAGTGCAGGATGAACTGTTCATTAGTCAGTATAAAGGAATGATGAAAAATCAAAGTTCAGTTTTCTGCATTTTATTGACTTTTTCAGGTATTTCATTGGCATATCAGTGAATAGTAATAAAGGTCATGGACTTGCATTTAATTATGTTTCTGGCACTGGGAAATGGATTGAATGGGTAACTTTTATTTATGGATCTGTAAGTTAAGTTTACAGATCTTTTAAGCCACATATCCAGTTTGTTCTGGTGAACTTCACCTTAAAGGAAAAGAAGAAATTAGAATAATGGTTTCTATATAGCTTTGTCCTGTGTGTATTTCATGCTCTATCTATTCATGCTTCTGTGAACAGCTATAAGGGCAGATCAGCATCARCTCCCACAAAAGCTTTATAAATGTGCAGCAATGTGAACATCAGCTGCCCTGTACTGAAATAAAGGGGAGGAAAAGTGGATTTAGCAGCAGCAAATGAGGCCTCTTAGGCTTATTTGGGCAGCAATGATGGTCTGTTAATATTTCTATCTGTTGTTCTGCAATGTAACATTCATGAAGGCTTCAAAATCTAAATTCCACATGCATCCTTTGGATGTTAGATCCCAGGTTTCTTTGTGCAGGGACATAGGATATCTGTTGTGATGAACCTGTGGCACCCTTTAAATAATAAATGATAAAAAGACTGATGAGGAGCTGTGTAGTGAAAAGAACAAGAGATGCTGTGAGAAATATAAACTGGAGTACCAGGATTACGTAACCTGAGCCATCTTTTTAACTCATCTTTTAGCTCTGCAGTTTGCACTTCTAAAGGGGGGGCTGTTAAAACTTAGTTTTTAAAAAGATAAAATTATGGTGCAAGGCCAGGATTTGGCCAAAAATAAAAAAGATATATTTTTTTCATTATCTTCTAAGTCTAACAGCTTTCCAAGTAAAGAGCAGTTTGGGGGGAAAAAAATCGTTCTTGTGTTTTGAGATTTTTTTTTATCTTTTTCTTTCCAAAAGACCAAGGTTCCTCATGGGACTCGCATCTTTTATCACAACTGTAAGATGAAATTCTGACATTCAAAGCCTGCCAATTTTAAAGTTTTCAGATTTTTCTGTAAATATTTCATATAACATAAAGAACTSATTGTTCTTGTGTATACCAGATATGCTGCTTCCTGCTTTGAATAATCATGTTGATCATCCTGTTCTGGTCTTATGTATCACTGTAGGTAATAAATACTTTTCACGTCAGACTATAAAGCAATAAGGAGGAAACCAAGATACTTGTTTAGTCTCCTAACTAAAGGAAAGCCAGTTGGTTCTCCCAAGTCCAGCCCTGATTTCCAGCCTCTGGTTCCAGGAGGAAGACACCTTCATGGACACCCTGTGCCTAGCTTTCCTGTGTCACTCCTGACTCCACTGCTTATTTTTTGTGCTTTAGGAAAAAAATAACACAGTCATTCTTAATAGTGTGAATTCGGCTGCTTGCTCTGTCAGTAACACCTCTGTTAGTTATCTTAAATGATCTTCACATGCATCCTTTATTYTCTGCACCAGAAACACATCTTTAATAATATGTGTCTTATTATTTTGCTGCATTCAGCTGGTACTTGATATATTTATCTTCAAAGACCAGTGACACATGGAATACGTGTATAGCAGGATGTCACCTCCAGAGATATATATGTGTGTCTGCAGGTGTGTGTGTGAAAATATATATAGAGAGAGAGAGAGAGGAAAAAAGATCATTTAATGACAGTTTTTGTACATACTTATAGGCCAGTCTATATTATTATTAAAGTCTGTCAGGATGTATGTCAGCAGTGTTCCCCAGAACTATTTGGTACTCACAAACAGGTCCTTGCYACAGATACCCTGAAGCACCTGATGTTAATGGAAGCATGTAACTTAATGGACAGTAGGTTTGTTTTTCTTCTTTCTTTCCTGTGGAAGATTCCTAAACAACTTTTAAAACAGTAACTTTTAAGTGGTAGAGAACTGCCCCACTCCATGCAAAGCGCTTCCAGGTAATGGCTTTGCTCCATGACTGCCAACTGCAGTGATTCAGAAACAGTTTTCAGCACAGTAAAATTTTCACAGTGATTAGCTGAGTCCTTTCAGTGAGGATTAAAATGAGGAAGAGCAGAACAGGCTACTGGAGCGGTGCGTAAGAAATAATAAAGAGGTTGTCTGCTTACAGAGGAACAGAAAGGGGTGCACCACAGTGCTTTAGGAAAGCGGCATTCCAGGCAGGAGTCGGGTATTTTTTTTTCCCTCAAGTTATCCTCCATATTCTCCAGCAAGGTTTTTTGTTCTGCTCTCACTGCCAGTGAGAGCTTTGAGCAAGAGAGGTGCTCAGGAATTTTTGTGGTCTCCCACCCGAAGCTGGGAGCATCCAGCTCCTCCGCTGTGCGAGGCCCCAGGCAGCTGCAGCCGCTGACAGGAGGGCTCTTGAATGGGCTCTTTGTGGCGCAGGTGCGACGGCTGCTGCTAGAGATCAGCAGAGTGACATGGCCCGTAGCAGGATGGGCCTGACTTGCAGCCTGGCTCTCACCTACAACTACTTTTGGTTTTAGTTGTATAATGGATGTCAGACTTATGGTCCTTCTCAGTACTGGGAAAGTTGTCAGGAGAACCCGAAAAGAAAGCGTGAATGTCTGGGATGACAGGAAAGCTGAAAGGAGCTATCGGGATGTGCTGGTGATCCAGAGAGTGCCTAATTAGCAAGAGGCTCTATGACAGCATYTCAGGCATGGACAAGTTTGCCCTTTCTGCTTTACAGCCCCCGAGCTGATACCCAAAATAGCTCTCTGTGTGTTCYAGGGAGAAAATAGATTCGAGTTGGGTGGTGAGAGGAAAGGCTGTCCTCTTGGTCTGCTGTTCTGATGATGTTCAGCAGAGAGGTGAGTCCTGGTAGAGCTGAGGCCAAGCCCCTGGCCTGCTGTAGCAGGAGGATCACTGGCCTGTGAGAGGAATGAGTGATACAAAGATAAAAAACAACTTAGATTTAAGTGGTAAGTGACTTAGGAACAGTTTTAGCCAAAAGACCTATTTTTTTGTATGTGGCTGTTTAATAAGATTCTTGTGTCATTCTCTTTCTTACAGTGCAGGACCACAGAAGTTAATGAAAATCAAAGCTAACACTTTTTATATTATCTCATTTTGCAGTGCAGGAAGAAACAAATCTTTTTCCTTTTGTTTCTTTCATTTCTTTTGAAAGTAGCTAGGAAGGGGATTAAATGTATCTCCAAGATATCTGAACCAAAGGGACTTCCTCTTCATTCCTCTTAGGATAAGGTATGCTTCCTTTCCTAAGGTATTGCTTTTTAGGTGCAAACCCTGGAAGATGTTAGTGTGTTTTCAGTGAAGCAGGCTGTTAAATATTTAGGGGGGGGGAGGCGAGGGGAAATGTCCTTCATAGGAACAGGCTGAACTTGCAGGAGAAGCTCTGTTGTTGATAGAAGATTGTGCTCCTTGATATGAAAAATGCAAGAACAAAACTGATAGTCCTACTATTTCAAGCAAATAGAAATGAATGAGAATCTTAGTGAAAAATAATTCACTGTTGTGAGTCAGCAGCCCACAAACAGTAGGAGCCATGCAGCAATTTTGAGCAAGGAGAAAGAAAGGCAGGGTTCATCCATGAACGCCAGGAAAGAGAATTAGAGAGGAAGCAGAGCTGGAAATGGGATCACAACAGGGAATACGGGACAGTGCAGCTGAGAAGTGAAATAGGAAGCGGGTAATAATATAATAGCTCTGAACTAAAGAAAATCTGGAAAGGGACTATGAATCTCTCTCTTACCAGCATAAAAGTTCCATTAGGTTTCATAGACTGTTGCTCTATGAAGGCTATGACTAAAACATTAATGAAGGTGTTACTTTGAGTGATTAGGTCTATTTTTTAATCTGCCTTGCTACTTAATTTTTTATGGAGAAGCGTAAAGACTGAAAGCAACCCATGTGAGGAGCAAGACCGGGCAGGCTTGCATTAAGCAAGTGCAAATGTCATTGTTATCAATATTAAGAGGAAAAAAAGGCATGTAAAAGGCTGTCAGTCTGGACCCATTAGTGTTTTCTTTAGTCCACTAAAAAGAGCATTTTTGGATCCTATTGGATGGTTTGGCTAAGAGTCCAAGGGACATTATAGTGGCTAATTAGGGAGTAACTTGATCTAGGCAAGTCCCTTCCTAATCAGGTCTGTTGGAGATTGACTGATGCCCTGAAATATATGGATTTGTAGAATTAGATTTYTAAGCCAGGAGGCATGAGAAGTCTGGCATCCTGTTTAGCACAAGCTAGAGAATCTCATCTAATAATTCCTGCACCGAGCCCGC